GTGAGCCACCGCGCCCGGCCCCTTCTCTGTATTTCTAAGAAGTCTCTTTTCCTCTGCTTTGTCTGAATTTTGGAGCCTGCCCTGGTATGTGCATGCTACTTCTCTTCCGATTTTAGGATTTGGCCAAGCGGCACCTCCGGCAGCTCTCTAGGGTTCCTGCTATGGTGGAGGGGTACACAAGTTGGAATGTGTACGAGCTCTGAGAGAGGATAGGTATGGAGATCCTGAGGGAGGAAGTCCAGGGCTCTCTTCCAGACATCTCAGTTTCTCCCCCTTCCTGTTTTCATCAGGTCTGGGACCTGCCGCTATGGGGGACATGAAGACCCCTGATTTCGATGACCTCCTTGCTGCCTTTGACATCCCTGACATTGATGCGAATGAAGCCATCCACTCTGAGCCAGAAGAAAGTGAGGGGCCAGGAGGCCCAGGGAAGCCAGAACCCAGCGTGGGAGGCGAATCTGGAGACCCAGAAGCAGCCTCTGCTAGGGATGACCCTGGGGTTCCAGCCCAGGATTCTGACCATGGCCTGCCGCAGCCAGACATTTCCACAGTCAGTGTCATTGTCAAGAACACTGTGTGTCCCGAGCAGTCTGAGGCCCTGGCTGAGGGTTCAGAAGGGGACGGGGCCCAGGCTGTGGGGTTGACTCAGGAGGGGTCTGTGGAGCCTCATCCAATGCAAAATGGTTTTGGGGGCCCTGAGCCATCCCTCCCTGGAACCCCTCACTCTCCAGCTCCTTCCACTGAGGGTACCTGGAAAGAAAAAGCCATGGAAGGCAAAGCTCCCTTGGACCTCTTTGTGCATTTTGGGCCTGAGCCAGGGGAGCACCCAGATCCCCTGCCTCCCTCTCCACCCTCCCCTCCTGAGGAAGGGGCCATGACCCCTCCCCCTTTCCCCTCTCCTTTTGAGCTGGCCCCAGAGAATGGCCCAAGCCTGCTGTCATCTGGTTCTTCCCCACCGCTGGGGGCCTTGAAGCAGGGCAGCTGTAGTCCCCCTCAGCCCCAGGGTCTAGCCCGGGGAGCCTCAGGCTCTAGCCCTGAAGCCACGAACATCCCTGCCAGCACCTCGCCTCCTCGGGTTGCTGGAGTGCCCTTCTTCAAGCAGTCTCCAGGGCATCAGAGCCCTCCTGCCTCCCCCGAAGTACCTAGTTGTCAGCCCCTGAAGGAAGAAGATGATGAGGGGCCGGTGGACAAGTCTCCCCAGGGAAGTCCCCATAGTCCTTCTAGTGGAGCCGAGGCTGCAGACGAGGACAGCAATGACTCCCCTGCCTCCTCCAGCTCCTCTAGGCCTCTTAAAGTGCGGATCAAGACCATTAAGACGTCCTGCGGGAGTATCACAAGGACTGTAACCCGGGTCCCCTCAGACCCTGATCCCCCTGCCCCCTTGGCTGAGGGGGCCTTCCTGGCTGAGGCTAGCCTCCTGAAGCTGTCCCCTGCAGCACCAACCCCCGAAGGTCCAAAGGTGGTGAGCGTACAGTTGGGTGATGGTACGAGGCTGAAGGGTACTGTGCTGCCTGTGGCCACCATCCAGAATGCCAGTACTGCCATGCTGATGGCAGCCAGCGTGGCCCGCAAAGCTGTGGTTCTGCCTGGGGGGACCACCACCAGTCCTAAGACAATTGCTAAGAATGTGCTGAGCCTGGTGCCCCAAGCCCTGTCCAAGGTTGAGGGGCGGGCAGGGCTGGGGACAGCGGGGCAGAAGGTAAATGGTGCCTCGGTGGTGATGGTGCAGCCTTCAAAGACGGCCACTGGACCAGGTTCAGGGGCTGGCACGGTGATCTCACGGACCCAGTCCAGCCTGGTGGAGGCCTTCAACAAGGTCCTCAACAGCAAGAGCCTGCTGCCTGCCTACAGGCCAAACCTGAGCCCACCGGCTGAGGCTGGGTTGGCCCTGCCTCCAACTGGCTACCGCTGCCTCGAGTGTGGGGACGCCTTCTCACTGGAGAAGAGTCTGGCACGGCACTATGACCGCCGGAGCATGCGCATCGAGGTCACCTGCAACCACTGTGCCCGCCGCCTGGTCTTCTTCAACAAATGCAGTCTGCTCCTGCACGCCCGCGAGCACAAGGACAAGGGTCTCATCATGCAGTGCTCACATTTGGTCATGAGGCCTGTGGCCCTTGACCAGATGGTGGGGCAGCCGGACATCACTCCCTTGCTACCTGTGGCTGTCCCACCTGTCCCTGGACCTCTGGTCTTGCCTGCCTTAGGCAAGGGTGAGGGGGCCATCACCTCTACCATTATAACAATTGCTGCTGAGGCCCCTATTCTGCCACTCTCAGCAGAGCCTCCTGCTGCCCCCGCCACCTCTGCTTACACGTGCTTTCGCTGCCTGGAGTGCAAGGAGCAGTGCCGGGACAAGGCTGGCATGGCAGCCCACTTCCAGCAGCTCGGACCCCCTGCCCCCGGGACCACTAGCACTGTGAGTTGCCTTTCACAGCTCTTATCTGGGGCGGGGACAGCCCGATGCTGTGGGGATAGGATCTAGGAAGGTGTTGGGGGCTTGGTTAGGAGAAGTAAGGGGGCCAGGCCACTCCTCACCAATTTGCCTTGTTTAACCCATTGACAGGTGTGCCCAACCTGCCCCATGATGCTCCCCAATGGTTGCAGCTTCAGCGCCCACCAGCGCATGCATAAGAGTCGACCCCCGCACGTCTGTCCCGAGTGTGGGGGCAACTTCCTACAAGCCAATTTTCAGACCCATCTCCGGGAGGCCTGTCTGCATTTCTCTCGCCGTGTAGGATACAGGTGCCTCATACCCCTCCTTCCATGCTGTTTTAGGGTCTCCTGTCTCCTGGCACCCGCCTTTCAGAGGGCCTCTTGGGGAGATCCCCCATCTCTCCTGCTGCATTCCTCAGCCCTGTCGTGTTGGCAGACTCAGCCCTGAGGTATCATATCCTGCCTTCTCGTCGTTCGTCAAGGAGATGGGGGGAAGCAGGGCTGCCTCTGGAGCTCCAGCTCTGCCCGGCCAGGCCTCCCTTGGGGAACTGGGCCTCTGCGGCTCCCTCTCGCCCCGCCTTGTTCGTGTTCCATTGCTCGTTTCCTTGGAGCACACCCAGCCCCTCAGAATAAGTGGGGTGGGGGTGGGCATGGAGATGCCCCCCACCTAACCATAGGGCCTCCCACTTCCTCCCCAAGGTGCCCCAGCTGTGCAGTGGTGTTTGGGGGTATGAACTCTGTCAAGTCCCACATCCAGGCGTCGCACTGCGAGGTTTTCCACAAGTGCCCCATCTGCCCCATGGCCTTCAAGTCTGCACCCAGCGCCCATGCCCACCTCTACAGCCAGCATCCTAGCTTCCTCACGCAGCAGGCCAAGTGAGACCTGGGCAGGATGGGAGGAGAAGGGGGTGGGCTGGAGGACAGGGGGCCGGCTCACCCCGCCTGACGTCCACGCTGTCCTTCCACCGCCGCAGGATGATCTACAAGTGCGCCATGTGTGATACAGTCTACACGCACAAACCCCTCCTCACCTCGCACTTCGACCAGCACCTGCTGCCCCAGCGTGTCAGTGTCTTTAAGTGCCCGTCTTGTCCTCTGCTCTTTGCCCAGAAAAGGACCATGCTGGAACATCTCAAGGTACAGGACAAAGGGATGGGGGACGGGTGCTTAGTTGTGTTGGCCTGGGGCTGGGGTCACGAACCTCAGCAGCCAGGCCCTCCCCCATAGCAGCCCTCCCCCTTGTCTCCCTCTCACAGAACACCCATCAGTCTGGGCGCGTGGGGGAGGAGCCTGCTGGGAAAGGAGCCGGGGGTGCCCTTCTGACCCCCAAGACTGAGCCTGAGGAGCTGGCTGTGTCTCGCGGTGGGGCAGCCCCTGCTACTGAGGAATCATCTTCATCTTCAGAAGAGGAGGGACTACCCAGCTCCCCCGAGCGTCCCCGCCCCACCAAACGGCCCCGGCGGGAAGTAGGGAGCAAAGGCATCAAGGGTGGGGGTGGTGGCAGCGGTGGTGGTGGCAGTGGTGGCGGTGGCGGTGGCAGCAGCGGTGGCGGCGGCTGGACCTGTGGCCTTTGTCACTCCTGGTTCCCCGAGCGTGATGAGTATGTGGCTCACATGAAGAAGGAGCATGGCAAGGTGAGTGGGCCGCAAGGGGAGTGAGATGGGCTGGAGGGCAGTGTTGGGACTGGTCCGTGTGACAGCGGGGATGGGGTCTCTGATATTTCCTATCCCTGTCCTCCTAGTCAGTGAAAAAGTTTCCCTGTCGCCTGTGCGAGCGCTCCTTCTGCTCTGCCCCCAGCCTGAGGCGCCACGTCAGAGTCAATCACGAGGGAATCAAGCGAGTTTACCCATGCAGGTAACCCCTGCCCCCAGCCCCTTCCTGGCAGGTGACTTCCCAGTACCCCACAGAACCTTCTCACCTGTGTCTTGTCTAAGAGGACTGAGGGTTGAGGTCTCCCTCTGCTCTGGTGGCCCCCTCCTCTCAGGAGCCTCAGCCTTGGGGCTGTCCCTGGTGCCATCCTGCCCACCCTCCCCCTTGCAGGTACTGCACAGAGGGAAAACGCACCTTCAGCAGCCGCCTGATCCTGGAGAAGCACGTCCAGGTCCGGCATGGCTTGCAGCTTGGGCCCCAGTCCCCTGGCCGGGGGAATGCCCTGGCTCGTGGTCCTGGTGCCAGAGCCCAGGTAGGTGCCTATGCCCAGACTGCTGTGTTAGGACCATGAAAGTGGGAAAGTGCTGGCTATCGACCCTGGCCTCAGGAATTAGGGGGGTGGGGTGCCAGGGACTGGATTAGGGATGATGGTGAGGCCTGGTTTCTGCCACTCTCCTCCAGGGGCCAGGTCGGAAACGCCGCCAGTCTTCCGACTCTTGCAGTGAGGAGCCTGACAGCACAACACCGCCGGCCAAGTCCCCCAGAGGAGGACCCGGCTTGGGAGGCCACGGCCCTCTGCGCTACCGAAGCAGTGGACCGGTGGAACAGAGCCTTGCCGTGGGGTTGCGGGTGGGTGGTGGTGCCCAGCAGTGCCTCGACTGTGGCTTGTGCTTTGCCTCCCCTGGCTCCCTGAGCCGGCACCGTTTCATCAGCCACAAGAAGAGACGGGGTGTGGGTAGAGCCGGTGCCCTGGGGCTGGGCGATGGGGAGGAAGATGCCCCCCCTCTGCCAAGGTCTGACCCAGATGGTGGAGACTCACCCTTGCCTGCTTCTGCAGGCCCCCTGACCTGCAAGGTCTGTGGCAAGAGCTGCGACAGCCCTCTCAACCTCAAGACCCATTTCCGCACGCATGGCATGGCGTTCATCAGGGCTCGGCAGGGGGCCAGTGGGGACAACTAGGCCTCAAGCCCGGGACTGACCAGCCCCCCTCTTCCCCGGAAGCCCAGTTTTCCCTGCTGCTGCCTGGTCCGTGGGCTGGGAAGTTTCATTAGCATTCATATTTTTTTCAAATGCTCTCTCCCCAGCCCTGAAGAAAAAGCTTTTGAGGATTATATTAATAGTTATTTGCAGCCTTCCTTTGGGTTAGGCCCTTGGGCCCTAGTAGAGTGGGCCTCCGTTTCTCCTTTCTGAGCCCAACACTAATTATGCTCCTGCTGCAGAACCCCCAGTATGGGACTGGGGGTGGGAGGATGGACTTTCATGTGCCTGCCAGACAGGCACGGGGAAGGACTGATGGGAGGCTCGTGGACACCCCTCCGCAATTCCTTCAGGCACAGACTGGAATTTTCCTCCTCTGGGCCAGGCCCTGCCATGACGCCCCCCACCCCCAACTCCCTGGCACTCAAGCCCCCCACCCCTGCAGTGCCTTTCACTTCTTTTTTTTTTTCCCCCCAGAAATTCAGGGGCGGGGTTAGTGGGGGTGAGTCCTGTCAAGGGGGGCCGAGGGAGAGGAGGGGACAGGCTCTCAGGAATCCTTTATTCTTGTAGTAATAATACTAACAGTGGGGGAAATAGGAGGGAGAAAACCAGACCATTAAAACTGCTCGTGGTTTAACCCCTACTCAGGCCTCTCTTTTTATGTGACTTGGATGATGTGGACTTGGGAGGGAGCAAGAGTCGAAACTTCTTCTCAGGGGAGAAGTGGTGTTGAGCGGGCAGGCGGGGAAGAGGGAGTCTCCCTCCTCCCCTTTCTGTGTGGTGCCTTCACCTTGGACACCGAGGTGTCTGCTTACTCCTCATCACCCATCCCCGCCCTTCCCCTACCGCCACAAAAGCCAATTTGGAAATGACACAGATGGCTAACTAAGTACTTTATTTCGAACAAAAATTAAAAATAAAAAATTGAGAGCTATTTCCCTGGGTGTGGGGAAGGGATCAGGGTAAGGAATTCCCCACAGCTAGGCCAGTACCCTCAATACATGGGAGGGGTTGTGGTAATTCCCTTCCTCGCCCCTGAGGTGGGGAACCTCAGCAAGTTCAGAGCCCACCTATCGGGGAACCTGGGCTTGGGGCCAGTTCCTGGGAGGGGTAGAGTTGGGCAGCAGCCTGGCCAAAGGCCAACCACAGGATTGAGTCCTCAGTGCCAAGGACCTACCCTCCCACCGCCCTGGGACCCAGAACAGACGAAGAGGATGGCCTTGGAGAACCTCTCAGATCCTGGCGAGAAGGCAGGCCCTGGCGTCCCTCACATTCATCACCTCTGTCTGGAGGGCAGTGAGTCCTGGAGTCTGTCGGGTGGCAATACTGACACAGAGCCTGAGGGCAGGGGAGCTCCAGCAAGTCTGGACCCCATAGCTGGCTCTCCCACCCCCGGCAAGCTCTCGCAGTTACCACATGATCCTTTGTATTTCTTGCCTTCCGTTTCCCTTGTGTGGATGGTTGGGTAGGTGGTTTCCTGGTTTGGGGTTTCTCAGAGAAGGGCCCCTCCGGGAGGGTCCCCTGGATCCCCCACCGCCCCTGGGCCTGAGAAGGAGGGTATCACATGATGCCGTTGGTGAGGTACTGGAAGCCGTCATAGAGTTTGGTGGTGATGGACCGCATGCTGCCGTCCACCATCTGCTCCACCAGCAGCTGGAGCTGCTCCTCGGTCATGCTCATGTGGAACCTCTCTTTGAGGTTGCGAATGGTGCTGGAGCCATGGAAGCAAGGAAGCTGAGAACCTGGGGAAGCAGGGGGGGTTGAGGGTCATGGATGGACAGGAGGCGGGCAGTAGCAACAGCTACAGCAAATACAGAGCCAGCAGTATCCGGAGTGGCCCTTCCCTCCCACCTCAGAGATCCCTGACAGCGTGGACGCAGTTCTGCCTGGGCGGAAAGAAGGAAATGGCACAAGGCCTGACTCGAGCCGCTCATCATCCCAGGCTCTTCAGCCCCTCTGTAGGTGAGGGCATATGGGTGGAGGGGGAAGAGGACCAACACATCTCCCCAAGTAAGGGGTAAGGGGTAAGGGGGCAGAATCTTAGAACCCAGAGGGCAGGCTGGGAAGAGGCTCTTGGGAATGGGTCCTGAGCTGGGCACTTATCTGGTTGCAGGCCTCTGCCTATGCTACGTCTGACACTCACAGATGACCTGGGCCACCGTCATCACGGGGCCAGACGGGGATGCTCCTGAGCAACGACGACAACCTGTGGGGTAGGGGCAGGGATGGGGAGGAGGAGGAGACTGGCAGCTCAGACCTGGTGTACACCTGGGGCCTTGGGGAGGGGGATGAGGACAGGAGGGGGTCCTGGGCCCAAAGACTGTAGATGGTCAGGCAATGAGGAAACAGCAAAATGGAGGATAAAGATGAGAGACAGAGGAAGTACTTCTCAGTTCAGAGCAGGAGGGGTGAGTAGTGGGAAAGGGAAGGGTGGCCAAGGACAGGGCAATCAGAGGTCACGGTGGAACAGGGAGGACAAATGGAAGGAGGAGACTGAAAAACTTAGAGTTGGACAAGGGCTAGGGAGGTGAGAGGGACCAGGAGGCTGTAAATGGGACTGTTCTCTCCCTGAGGATGCCTAGGAGGCAGTTTCTGCTGCCCCTTCCCCCGCCCCCCGGACCTAGCTCTGCCAGGGTCGGGAGGAAAGTCCTGCAGGAGAAACAAGGCACTGGATCAGAGCTGGAAACCCTCTGGGAACCGGCTCCCCCAACCCACGTCTTAAGGTGGAATCAATTTTCCAGAAGTTCTATGCTCCGGGGCCCCAACCTAAGTGGGAATCCTGAAGCACTGTGCACACCTGGCCTCTCCCAGCCCCACCTTGCTGCATGATCTCCACGATCTGCACCACCTTGTCCATGTGTTTTCGAGCGGCGATCAGCCCTTGCAGCATGAGCATCTTATAGTAGTTGAACATGTCACCATCCAGGCCACCCATCACCTGGGAGGGGAGGGGAGAGTTGTGTGCACAAGCGGACTAACAGGCCTACCAGAACACCCCCCTTCCTCTCTTGGGGCAATCATGCCAAACTCCGTTGTTTCCCTACTCCCTAATCAGGCAGGAAGCTCCCAGGAAATCCTGCTTCACCCTAATTTGTGGGGAGCCGTCAGCTTCCCCTCTCATGAGAGAAAGAACACAGTGACCCCAGAGGCACCTCTCCCTCCTGACTCACATCCACAAACTCTGTGGTCAGCTTAAAGGCTGACGTCTCAAAGCCCAGGTTTCGGGGCGAGCTGGACAGGATGAAGCCAAAGTCGATGTGGATGATGTGGCCTTCTGCGTCCAAAAGGATGTTCCCATTGTGTCTGAGGAGGGGAAGGAGAGCAGAGGAAGAGGCAGTAGTCAGTCTGACAGGCTGGAAGCTGAAGCCACAATACACTGGCCGCATGACACCACAGGGAGTCTCCTGCCATGTGTCCTGCTGCCTATAACTCTGGGTCCAGTCTCCTAGGAACTAAAGCTAGCAGTGGAAGGAAAGGAAGTCCGAAAAGTAAACTGCTAACAAAGGCTGTGGGGTCTAGAATTACTATTATTAACCATTTAATAAGAATAGCTTAGGATTATTCCAATTTCCCAGAAGTTGCACTTACAGCACCCAGAGGGATCCCAATGAAGTAGAGAATCCAGAAGCAAGGAAAGGAACGCAAGCCCTTTGCTCAGAGGGATGCCTCCATTCCGAACCTATTTACCAGTGTTTTATTTGTAATTCCTATCAGCCTGCTGCAGAGCAGAAGCAGCACCAGAAGGGAGCAACAGAGGCAAGTAGAGGCAAGTGGAGCTGAAATGTAAAATAGTGTGCGGGCTTCAGCGGGTAAGTTTTAAATCGCTTGCGTAGGCCAGGTGTGGTGGCTCACGCCTGTAATCTCAGCACTTTGGGAGGCCGTAGCAGGAGGATTGTTTGAGCTCAGGAGTTTGAGACCAACATGAGCAAGAGTGAGACCCTGTCTCTAAAAAAGTAGAAAAATTAGCCGGGCGTCATGGCACACGCCTGTAGTCCCAGCTACTCAAGGAGGCTGAGGCAGGAGGATCGCTTGAGCCCAGGAGTTTGAGGTTGCTGTGAGCTATGATGAGGCCACCGAACTCTAGCCTGGGTGACAAAGCGAGACCCTGTCTCAAAAAAAAAAAAAAAAATCACTTGTGTAAAAAATTTCAGGAGATAGCACTACTACAGGGCAGCTGTAGAAGAGTTAAAGGAAGATAAATCCCAGGTCTTTGTGATTCCCACATGAATGGCCAGTAGATGAAGGAACAATTAACATGCTACGCTTGTGAGGCCTGGCGTATTCAGCATAACCAACCTCCTCAGTGTCAATGAAGGCTTTGTTAGGCTAAGAGCTCATGGTCTGAGGGCCACCTTCTCTGGGGTTGGTCTGACCCGCCAAAAGAGAAGGGCAAAGGGAGAACTGAGTCCATCTGAGTCCTTCCCCCTCTGAGAAAACACTAAAGATTTAGCAACAGTCTTAAGATTTAGCACAATCTTAAGAGCCAGAAAGTTTCTGAGAGATGTCCTAGTCCAACCTCTTAGAGATGAGGAAACAAAGGGCCTGAAAGGGGACGTAACTTACTTGCCCAAGGTCCCAATGCTAGTGAGGAGTAGTTTCCTTTCCTTTCCTAACTACTGGAGTTAGCTCCAACTAGAAAGCTGTTTGGGACCCATTTTCAAGCAGTTAAAGAGACCTTAAAACCTGCTTCCAGTTTGAGGACTCATTCATTGTTGCCACTTCATTCCAGTGGCTGATTCCATTCATGGCTTGACTACATCTATTCTTTTTTGAGTTATTATGAATGTTTACCAGCTACCTGCCCTCCTTTCTTTGAAGATGGACTCTCATCTTCCAAACATATTATTATTACTTTTTTAATAATTTAAAGAGATTTATTCTGAGCCAAATTTGAGGACCATGCCCCGGAGCCACGCCCAAGAAGCCTTGAGCAAGTGGACTCATCTTCCAAACACATTAGTTTTCTAAAGAGAAGCCCTGGGGCCTGACTAGTGCCAGCTTCCCTGCCACCCATCTGTTCAATCCTGGTGCTGAGCTCTAGGCTCTCTGGGCCCTAGGTTCAAAATCCTGACACTTTAGGCTGGGTGTACTGGCTCGCACCTGTAGTCGTAGCTAGCTGGGAGGCTGAGGCAGGATGATCACTTGAGCCCAGGAGTTCGAGGCAACGGTGAGCTATGACGGTGCCCCTGTACTCCAGACTGGATGACAGAGTGAGACTCTGGCTCTTAAAAAAAAATTCTGGGCCAGGTGTGGTGGCTCACGCCTGTAATCCTAGCACTCTGGGAGGCTGAGGTGGGCGTATCGCTGGAGGTCAGGAGTTCAAGACCAGCCTGAGCAAGATCAAGACCCCATCTCTACTAAAAATAGAAAAAATTAGCCGGGCATGGTGGCGCATGCCTGTAGTCCCAGCTACTCGGGAGGCTGAGGCAGGAGGATTGAGCCCAGGAGTTTGAGGTTGCTGTGAGCTATGATGAGGCCACCAAACTCTAGTCCGGGCAAAAGAATGAGACTCTGTCTCAAAAAAAAAAAAAAAAAAAGTTGTGGAAATCATATGTTGGAATAAGAAGTAAGGAGAGTCCATGGCTGGGAGTTTCAACTTTATCTCCGCCATGTCTCTCATAGCCATCTTCTCCTTCCTGTTCTCAGACGCCACCCTCAGCACCCCATTCCCTCTTGTTGTGTTGCTAAAGGCCCAGTTACATCCGCCCTCATGCACATGCCATAGGGCATTTATTGACTAAATAGACTGCATCGTGTCATTCCTCTGCCTGCAAAATAAAACTACTCAGCTTCACAATGAAGGCCTTTCTTAATCTGGCCTCAATTTACCTGTCTCATGTCACTGCCTACTACTCGCCTGCCTGCAGTGCAGCCCGAGCCTTCATCACGTTGAATTATTTCCTCTACCTGGGACGCACCTCCCTCACAGCTTTTTCTGCCTTCATTCTCCCTTGTCCTTTAAGACCTTGTTCACTCGAACCCTTACTTGTCTCATTAATCCTGCATTTCTTTGCCCTTTTACCCTAGCGCTGGTCAGTCTGTCTCCTTGGCTTAATGTCACGTGAACACATCTGTCTCTCCTTAAAATATGTTGTTTGTTTCATCATTGCATCTTGGCAATGGAAGGTGGTAATAAGCAATTGAGAACTACACATAAAGAGATAAAGGGAATACCACAGAGAGGTTAGGATGAGGAGCAGGAGACACCCACCTGTCCTTGACTTGCAGCAGGTAGCAGACCAAGCAGTAGCCAGCGCAACTTTGCACAAAATTGCGCTGGGCACTGAGGAATGCCTCAGTGGTGTAACTGCCATGCTCCTGTAGGAAGTAATCGAGCAAGGAGAGCTGTGACTGTTTCTTCACCTGGTGGATGGACACAGCATTGACCACTGGTTCAATCATGCCACTATCAGCCGAAATCACAAGGATCTTGTATGGCTTGATCCAGAGGGGTACTCGCTCCTGTTCCCAAATGGACTGTGAGGAGACATGGAAGTATTGGGACTCTCATTTTCCTCCGAACTAGAGGAGGTGGCTAAAACTCCCCCTTTTCCCCAACCCCTCTCCTTGGCAGCCTTGGATTCTTAAGCCATCACATCAAATGAATAAGACTCACTGATCCTACTGAGGACCAGTAAGTTCTGAAAGGAAGTCCAAGTCCTGACAAAGTCAAGAAACTACACTCCGATGTGTGTGGGAAAAGGTATCATGTGGGTAGAAAGTCTAAGAAAGGCAGGGAGAGCAGGAAATCTCATTGTCACTTCACAAGCAGGGAGAATGGGAGGTATTACTGTAAGTTCAAAGAATAAAGGACTGAGGTCCAGAGAAAGCTTCTTTAGAAAATGAAAATATGTATAAAGAACTGGATTAAACAAGTAGAACTGCTTGCAGGTGACCAATCCAGGGGGCTCAGGGGCTCACTATCTCAGCACACTATAACCCACCTGCCTCAGACCATTTGGGAAGTTCTGATCTAAACAAACCCAATGCCCTGAAGTTCAGGGATCCAAACTAGAGTTTGGAGAGTTTGGAAAACAGGGCAGGTGCAGTTCACAAAAGGGCCAAAAGAGGCCACTGTTTCTGTGGCTGTGCCTCCCAGGGGAAGGGAACACCAGGTTTAGTTTAATCTACTGCCAATTAAGACCTGGGAAGGAAGTTGTTCCCCAGTAGAGGTCCCTGCAGAACAACCTATGTGGTCACCTCAGGTGGGCTGGAGTTGGGCTGAGTTCCCTTTCTTTCTCTTTCCCTTCTCTTACCTGCAGTTGCTTTAACACCTGGAAGGCCAGCAGCTCTTGCCTAAGGTCATCCCCACATTTGACAATGACTGACAGGAGCCGCCAATTGGGGAGATGGCCATAGGGGGAGCCCTCTCTGATCCGCCTGTGAAGAGAGAAGAAAAGGGTGTCAAAGGGCGAGGCCAGAGATATGGCTTCTACCAAAAATCCAAAGCAAACGCCCCATAAGACAAGGACTCAGATTGCCTGGGAGCCTCACAGACTCTCTGGAGGCTAACGGATGATAAAGACGGTGCGGTGAGCACCTGCAATTGCCTCCAAGCTTCAAGAGGGGTAGACAGACCACCCCCCACCCAACTCACCGCACTTTCTCCTGCCAGGGCTCTTTGAGAGCAACTGCAGAAGGGTCTTCTGGGTCTCGTTTGAAGGCTGTGGGGGTGTGAGCCAGCTGTTCCGAAAGGCGCCGTCTAGCAGGAATAAAATACATCATTTGCTTGGAGGAGCTACCCCAGAGTCTCATGTCCCTGTCTATGCTGGCATTTCCTGTACTGTTGCCTGGATTCTGGGCACACAGAGATAGGAACCCAGACTAAGAAAGACTCATGGAAGGAAACCTTTTGCTAACCTGGTGGTTTGTAATCATGTAAAAATGCAGATTACCAGGGCCTCTCTATTCCTCTACCAACACTGATTCACAACGGGGTCTGACTCCAGAATTTGCACTTTCCACAAGGCCTCCTCCCTCACCCGTGATGTTGACATATGTCAATTTGAGACCCCACTTTGAGAAACACTGCTCAAATTCCTTCCTCTGGTGCTTTCATCCTTTTGGAGTCCTTTTAAAATTTAATTTCCTTCTGTAGTAGCCCAAGTAATTTCTCAACCTATACCTTCACTGCCTCAAGTTTGGTGGCTTCAGGACAAGGATGGAATGAGGAGAGAAAAGGAAAAGACGCAGGCTGACAACAGGTGATTAAGACAGAGAAGAAGGGGACAAAAAGACAATCAGTGCCTGAAAGAGGGCTGAAATATGAGGGGCAACATAATCTGGCCATACCGGATATCCCCCGCTGCAATAAACACAGGCTCCTTGCTCTCTTGGCTGGTGATGCTGTCCACAGAGAACTGAGAGATGTTGTCACAGCTGTTGGTGTGCACTTCAGGGAGCTGGGGAGAGCAGGGGAGCACTCGTCAGAAGTGCTAAGCACAGGTCTCCTTTCTCCCACCTCCTGCTTGTTTGCCATCACCATGGCATGTTCATCCTACCTCCATCCCTCTTCTAAACTCTTCTCCAAAAAGCCTCCCTGGTTATATACCATCCTGATCACTTGGACCCCAAACTGCTTAGCACTCACAAAGACCCTACCTATTGCAGTGTTTCGCAAAGTGTGAATTACCTGGGATGCTTGCTAGAATGCAGATCCCCAGGCCCCACCATCAATCTGAATTAGAATCACTGGGAATGGGATTTGAAAGTCTGAATTTGTAACAAGTTCTCCAGAAGACTCCCAACGCACTAAAGTTTGCAAACCACTGCCATGACCATCACAGAAGCCTGAACTTTCAGCCTAATACCCCACCCCACCCCCAAGGCTAGGGATCCATTCTCTGCTAGGGTGCTAAGCAGACCCTCTTCAGACTAGATTCCTCTGACGATTTCTTCAATCTAAGTCATTCACTCTTATCTCCCCCCATCTCTCTCTAATTATGGAATATTCTATCAGACCGCAAGGCCCACATCAAGTCCCTTCTCTGCTTCCTTTATACCAGAGCAGTTCTCCTCAACTCCATTTGTCACCTAGTGCACACTGCCTTGTAGATCTCAATTATTTTTTTTCTTAAATGTCTATGTCTAATCTGCCCAATTGGACTGTAAACTTGAGACAGAGATACTGTCTTTTCACAAAGTGAAATATGGCCACGTTAATGGCCCTACATAAGATCCTGCTCTGGGGCTCCTTCTGACCCCAGAATAAAGTTCAAGTTTCTTTCCTAGCTTACAGGGCCCCTCCTACAGTCTGGCCCATGCCAACCTCTCCAGTCTCATTCTTCACCACTTCTCACCTCATACCCATACATCACAGCCAGACACAATTTCTTTCAGTTCCTGTAATAGGCCAAGCTCCCTCTTATCTTCTGGTCTTTGCACATGCTATTTCCTCTGCCCAGAATATTCTTTGTCCAGCTAATTCTTACCCATGCTTCAGGCCTCAGCTGAGATTACTTCCTCCAGGAAATCGTTTGTGACGCTCACCACAAGTCTGGAGTAAGCGCTACCCCCACCCTCAGGTGCTCCTATCGTGTCCCATCCTCTCCACAACCTGGATCACACCATACTACAACTACTTGCTTATTGGCCTTGTTACCTCTCCTATTAAGTCATAAATTCCTTACAGGCAGGAGCCAAGCCTTGTTCACTAGCACACAGCACTCAGCTCTGGCAAACAGAAGATCCTCAATACATATTTCTTGATTGAATGAATGCATGATTTATCATTCTCTGCTATCTTAAGACAACTTTATATAGTGGATGTTTAATAATTATCTTCATCAAATTTCTCTCGTTCCCCCAGGCTTAGAATCTCCTCTTTACATTTAACTTGAATTCCTTCTGCAGGAGTACAAGCTTCTCCTGAATCTATTCCAGACTAAAGAAGTTCAGAGCCTTTCCCTCTTATATACCCCTCACTACCTGCACCATTCGAGTACTTGCCTCACTCTGCCTTGGGGTATGTTGTCTTGTTTCAAATACATTGGAAGCCCCTGGGGAATACGTGCTGTGCCTTAGCATTACCTCCTTGGAGCTCCCTCACCTCCACTTGCAGCTCGCCTATGTCATCCACCGACCAGGCCTCATCATCATTGTCATAGTTGGGCACAGTGCTGAAGCTGCCAGCTCGCTGCTCATGGGTAATACCACATTCGGGCAAGTTCTCTACGGACCGTGTACTCCGAATTCGGTTCTCAGGGATCCGGGCAGGGACACTGGTGGTGTCGAAGTTTTCACATTCAAGGACTTCCACATAGATCAGGTAGGGAGCCTGGCGGGGGAGTGAGAGCAGTATTTGCAGCTTACCTCCACCACAGATCTCTACTCTATCAACACAGTTCTTCCTGCTGCCTACTCCGAGCTCTAGCCTTCATCCATCAGCCCAATTCTATGAACACCATACTTGGGAAAGGCATGTGTCCTGTGACCACCGATATAAAGAATTTGGGTGAGAGAGTACACAAGTCTTCAAAATGTTTCAGCTGAGTTTCAAAATGTATAGATGATGCACTTGGGAAAAACCACTGCAGCCTATCAATTACAGCCTGTAAGAGCGGCCTAGAAGCCTCTGTTGGCTTGTCCTAAACACAGGGCCCAGGGAGCTAAAATGGACAAAAATACTGGGACAAAGCTGGGGACTTTCCCAAGGAGGATTCTAATCTTTAATACTTCCTCTGGAAGAAGAATCTGAACCATGAGTACTCATTCCAACCGGCAGACAAATTCAGCTAATTCTCTCCAATGTGAATTGGGCATCTTTGTCTCCTTCTGTCTGCCTGTTATGATCAGAAAAGGTCTTAGAAACAAAATGTTTCTCTACTTTCATGGCTGCTGTACCTGGAAATCCTAAGAGTTACAGAAGGACTGGGGAAGAGCTACCAAAATGACCACAAGGAGGAGGTGGAGAGCAATTCTCCTAAGATACAGCAGGCAAGCTGAAAAGATTAGGCTTCTTTGGCTTTGGTGCAGAAAAACAAAGCCCGTGCTGGGTGCAGTGGCTTGTGCCTGTCATCCCAGCTTCTCAGGAGGGTGAGGTGGGAGGATCACTTGAACCCAGGAGTTCGAGACCAGCCTGGGCAACGTAGTTAAAACCCATCTCAAAAAAAAAAAAACCCAAAAAACCAAAGCCCAAGAAGGGGGACATGGCAGCTCTCGAAATCACAATAACACTGAGACAGAGTCATGGTTGACACATGGATCATGAACTATGAAGGAAGTGTAGGACTTTGGTGAGGGCATCCTTGGGCATACACACAAACCCTGGACAATCATGGCAGTAGAGTCACGTCAGGGGTAGGGTTTGGGCCAGAGCACACCTACCTTGTCCTTGGAGTTGAGGACAACAGCCTGTGTGTGGGGTACGCGGACCACGTGGTGGTCAAAGCCAGCAGTGGGCAGCCAAACTCGGGCAGGGAGCTTATGGTTGAGCAGGGAGAGCTCTGAGATCAGCCGCTGTGTTTTCTGCTCTTTGGTGGGGAGCGTGGCAAGCCGCTTGCCGATCGCCATCAGGGATTTGATGAATTCTCGCTCAGGAGCCAGTCGAATAGGCTACAGGGGATTGGGATAAAACAAAAGATGGTGAAGAAACCATAGAAAAAAGTGGCCCACCCACTCAATTACTCCTGGCTAATGACACCAGAGGCCCTAGTGTCTGGAGAACTGCAGGAAAGGAGCGACCTTTTGGCCCTAGTAGGAGATTCCACCCCATCCCTTGCAGTCTGAATTGAGAAAAACCAGCACATTCCTTCTCCATAGGCTATCTTGAGGGTAAGGGGGGCCATGAGTCCAGGTAACTGGGTTGTACCCCTTTTCTCCTGGACTTGAGTTCCTTAAGGATTGTCCCAAGCCTTCCGAATGGGCAGAGGGACAACATCTGGAGACGTTAGCCAGGGCCCCAGAGAGAACAGCTGCTTATGATTGAAGTGTTTCACCCATCTCAAGAACAAGGTTGTCCCTCTCCCCATCTGGATCCTTGAGCTGGAACTCTGCCAAGGGGCTCTGCCAAAGCCCACAAGGCTAGGGAAGGGAGCTCTAAGTTAATATTTCCGCTTTCAAAGAAGGAAGGTGCTCTTCAGTTACTTCTGTTGATTTCCATGGTAGTCCCCTGTCCGTCCCACAATCTCTTACAAGGTGATGCACATGCAGGGGATGGGACAAGGATGAGCAGACTTTGTATTAATGAGAGAACAATGAAGGAGACAGAAAAAGCGGTGGAGGGAGGGAGGTGGGAGCAGGTGGGTGGAGAAAGCGACAGTTCCTTTTAGGCCCTGATCATGGGCCTGCAGGTCTGTCTCTTCTAGTGATTTCTCCTTGGGTCCTCCTCTCCTACCTCTCAGCAACTGGGCTCCCCATATTAGGTCCCTGCTGTGAGTCTGGCTCCTCATGCTGGGCATTTCAGTCATCCCAGAAAGGGCAAAGTCAGTCTGGGGAGTAAGGTCGGGGTGGGGAAAAAGACAGACTCTGCTAGACATGAAGAAGGGCTCTTTTCACAGTCTAGGTCCTTTTACTATGAGGGGCATTTTATCAAGATAGCACCCCAACTCCCCATCCCATCTCCCCTCAGCTATATAAGAACAACATCTCCCCCTCTTTTAGAAGCATTTCACTCACCAGGCTTTTCTCTCCCTTTCTATGTATGCCTTGCTTAGTTTCCTCATTGAGAATTTCTACCCTCACTCCCTCACACTGCAAAAAAAAGAGCTTCTTTTGAAAATTGGGCAGTACCAGGTCTGCTTCTCCATGTGCAACAGAGCCAGGGTTCAAAGGAAAAGCTCATCTCTCAGCTTCTGCCCCATGGGGGCTGGCTCAGGGTACCACACAAATAATGAAATAGGGTGTCTAAATCAGTCAGGAATGCTTTAGGGGGCTGGGCTGAAAAGAGATAAAGAAAGGAAAACAATAGAACTAGGCTTCTATGGTCCCTGGAAATATCCTGGAGGCCTAATAGAAAAAGAGAAAGAAAAGAAGAAGAAATTTGAAGACTCACTCCTTCCTTCATCCAGATCCCCTAATCCATCCACTCAGGTGGCAAATGGTCACTGTTCCAAGGACCCCCCACCCTCACCAATTCCTAGTCATTTCAGATTAGAAACGACAGAATTCCTTCCCATCCTCAAATCAGCATTTCGGTTGGGGGCCCCTAAATTACATCAGCATATTGGAAATGTGACCCCAGGCCTCAAGAGAAGCTCTGCCACATGGAGGAGACAGGATCATGATTGAAAGGGGATTAGCACAGAACACAGAAAACTGATTGGGTAGACAAATCAAAAATAAAATGTAAAAAATCATCCAAACTCCCTGAGGGTCCTGCATTTCCTCTCACGTCTTTGCCCAGCAACAAGGTCCAAGACCCTGTGGGACCAGAGGGTCAGAGGTTAGTCCAGAGGGAACAAGAAAGGAGGATGGGGATTAAGGGACATCCTGGGCAGTGAGCTGGGAAAAGGGAAGAACTCAGACCTGGAAAAACTGTGGTTGAAGTTAAAAAAGAAAACCAGTTGTGGGGAGGTAAAACTTTCTTTCAGGCCAAGTCCTGTTTGCTTTTGGAGTCAGCTCACCGGTACAGGGCCTATCATTTAGAACACTCTGAATAAATATTTGATAATCTGGTGGCAGAAACCATTGGGAAAGAGTGGGAGAAACAGGATCCTGGGGGTTTCTGCCAGGCAGTTCTTGGCTCCAATCCAGGAGAGAACTCTACCTCTCTCCCAGCTGTTTGCTCCAGAGACCCAGGAGCTGACAGCTGAGTAGCACTGCATCCCAGCTGTCTCTGAGAGGAGGATCAACTGAGCACATCTCAGCCGGCCTCAGGACATCTGCAGCAAATGGAGGAGGTCAGGGGGACTCCTCCAGATCTGGGAGGCCTGGGAGGGAGGAGTTGATCTCACAAGGAGAAAAAGGGGCCTTTAACTCCAGCTTTGGTTGGGGGGCTCAGAAGATCTGGGGACGGAGAGGAAATGCGGCCATGGGGGGAGCCTGCCACCCAGTCCCAGCCTGGCCCCACTTACGGAACTGAATGAATTATCAATACTCTCGGTGCTGGAGGAGAGCTCCTGGGAAAGGGCCAGAGGGCAAGGGGAGGAGGAGGGGGCGAGGAGGGAGGGGAGAGAGACAAAGGCAAAGAATTTAGCTCCAACTTGGATCATAACTGCTTCTCTAGTGAAGCTCTACCTTTCTGCTTTAGTAAAAGAAAATCAACCCAGAAATGCCAGTTGCCCAGACACTGGGGGAGATGCTAGAAGGCCACTTCAGACCTTGAAGTTAGAATGGTTGAAGAGATAAAGTGGCCTCTGCTTTTCATTTTATTCCCTTCTATTCTCACCTGAATCTTCCTTCTAGGACAAAACCCTAAAGCTGGGTCCCTCAGGTAGTAACTCTACACTGCCAACCAAACTCTCTTCTATGGGGACCACCACAGAGGGACTGAATTTAACAAGTTGCGTGACCCCATACTGGAAGCCCCTTGTTCCTCCAGCTTCTTGGAAATCTCAGGGAGGAAAAGCTAAACTTTCAGTGGCAGGTATACTTTCTCTCTAACCAGCTTCATTATCCCCTTGGGGAGCTGAATCCCAACTTTGAACTTGTGTGACAAAGGGCATCCCAGATCTATGAACCTGAAATCTCTGGGCTGGATGCTGGTAGGAGTAGAGGAGAAATCAATCTCATAACCCCCCTTAGGCTTCCTATCAGGCTATTCCACATGACACTCAATATATTACAATTTTTTTTTTTTTTTTTGAGACAAGGTCTTGCTCTGTCACCCAGGCTGGAGTGCAGTGGCACAATCATCCATATATTACAATTTTTTGACATAAGTTGGGATCCTAGCTAAATTCATCTGAGAAAGCTGACTAGCTGGAGAGCAGCTGTCCCAGTTCCAGTCTAGAGGATTTATCTACATGTCACCCCATCCCTGTGTCTTACTGGTGTCTGTGAGCAAGACAGAAAAAACAGATGGTGGTCAAACTCTCAATCAGCAGCTCTGCAGCAGTGCTCATGCACAGGGCCCATCCTGGGTTCTATCCAACAGTGTCTACCACAGCAGGGAGCAGGGGCAGCATGTGTGCACAAATAGGCAGGACTTAGGGGACCTGGACTTAAGAGACAAAGCTCTGAGAGCTACCAGGGCAGGAAGGCAGCTTCTACTCTGGAATCAGCATTTCAAATGCCTACTTAATTCAGTTCCATGGTTTAAGTTCTATTCTAGCTGTAGGGCCTATAGTCAGGTCCTTCCTTAAAGAATCTGGGGAGAGCAGCACTTTGAGGAGAAGCCACACTTGGAAACACTCCGCTAAGGCAACAACTACTCCACTTCGGATTGAATTAAGGCAGAGAGAATGTCAGAGTCTATTTTGACTTAGTGGTTCAATTTCTACCCATGAGCTGGTTGGGAAAGGAACAGCAGGCAGGACATTGGCTCCATGAGCAATGCTTTTGCTAATTCTCTTACACACAGGTCCCATCTGACTCATTAACCTCCCATATCATGACCTGCTCCTCTCCTCCTACTCCCTGGGCTTGAGTCACTCACACTAACTCAGCTCCAAGGAGTAAAGCTGAGGCCAAGAGCTGACATCACACCATATCAGGTTGGAAGGCCCACTTGGGCTTCCAGTGTGACACGCAGATTTCTCTGTACAAAGGTTGCAGTCCTGAGAAGACAAAGCTGATCTACTAAGAGTGTCATTATGTGGGGCAGGGTGTGGGGAGGGGAGTGGTACCTAAATTCACTCTCTGCTTCCTGTACCCTCACCCTATGCCAAACTATTTATAATTTGGTTACAAATGGGAAAGAAAACTGCCTGAGCAGAGTTCCCTGACTAGGCTGATAAAATTGCTTGGAAAAGGCACACTTTATGGAGGGAATGGTGGGAGATGGGAAAAATTAGTGCTACAGCCTTCTGATTGTGGGGACTGGGGAGCAGGGGGGGGCGGGGCGCCAGGAGGTGCAAAGGAATCCTCATGGAAAGAAACGGAACCCTCTGTGAGATCTGGGTAGAGAAGAGCTCTGCAGGAAAACCCCAGGCAGGAAGAGAACTGTACAAGCAGCCTCTGGCCCTCTTCCTTGAGTCCCCACCTCATCCTCTGGAGCTCCTTTACTGGTGGTGGGAAAATAGGATTAAACTCAGAACCCAAAAGGCAAGAGATTGGGAGCAGAGTGTCAGGGTCCCCCTAGAGATTCTCCTTCTATAGTGTCTCTGCTCAGGCCTTAAGAAAATTATGTGCTTCATTTTAGTAAGCTGTATACTTCATGCTTATGGCAGGAAACAACTTTTTAAGAGTCACAAACTAAACAGTTCCCTAGAAATGGGGGTTTCCATATTACTTTAAAAGATCCTAGAGGGAACGACAGCATTTTATCTTCTGTCCTCCACAGCTGTGCACACTGTACAAGGTCAGTAACTATTTGTTGAATGAATAAATGTTGCATGACAGGAGACAGGGAGGAATAGAAGAAGGAAAACCAATTCCCTTGGTATTTGAAGGACAAAGGCCTTGACAGACATATCTTCAAAATGCCAAAGGGGTTAGGAGAGACCCCTCTGCTAAAGATTTCCAGTGCTCAGAAACCTAGTGATATTCATATTTATCTTCTGTCCCTCTTTCTTGCTCTCCCATTTTCTGAGTAGCCATAGTGGATTCAGGTGTCTCGTTCTGCCAGCATGGGATAACCTAGGAGTGCCTAGGGATGCAGTATCTCCTTATTTTCCTGGATCTAGTGACCCAAGATAAGGAGTCAGGCTGAGGAGAATGGCAGCTAGAGAACTCACCCTAGATGATATAAGGACTCACAGAATACCTACCTCTCACTGCAAGCAGGAGCAGGAGTTAGACATGAGGAAGAGGGACCAAGGATCAGCACAGAGTAAGAAAAGCCCTGAGGCCTCAACTTTTGTAGTCCTAAGATGAGGACTACATGGATACAGAGAAAAGCCAAGCCTGACAAAACACACCAAGGAATTCACTTCCAGTTGCTCACACTCATACTGTTATAGGTTTGACCCCAAGAAGAGACAGCTCTCAAATCCTTTATGACCTTAGTTATACCAGACTTGGGAAGACTCTTCTTGCTCTGCAACAACCTCCCTTCATGACCCTGGGCTTCACTGCCAAGCTCAACCAGAAATGAAAATGGTCCATTCTGCTTCTGAGAACAGCTTGGGCTCTGCCTATGTGTGCACGGATGTGGAAGCTCATGCCCCGGGCTCTTCTTCCCCAAACGGCCTTTGACAGCTGGAGACCTGGGGAAGTAGATGCTGAGAAATAACCAAAGTAGTTCAGCTGAATGGTTATGAGCACCAGCTGTGGATTTGAGGCCTGGTCTGACATTCACTAGTTGAGAAACCTTGGGCAAATCATCTATTCTAGCCTCAGCTTCCTAACCGGTAAAATAATATCTGTCTCTTAGGGTTGTTGTGGAGATTAAATGTAAAGTACTTGGCATGATGCCTGACACATACTAAGTGCTCAATAAATGTTAGCACTTTTAGTTTTACCATTATTAAATTATTATAATAAAATACCAAATTTCCAGAGAGAGCAAGCTCTGTAGTCTCCCCTCCCTCTTGCCTTTTCCCTTCCCTAGTCACTCTAACCTCCTTTTACTTGAAAGAAGTTCCATTGTATCAAAAATGTGGGTGAGTTATGTGCTCCACAGAGGCAGATGCCAGGACCATGGCTATACACATTTTCCAACAAGTGCAAATTCCTCATTTTTTTCTCCCTTCTTTTCTAGGCTGGGCTGGCAGCCAGGATGGGAGCCTGGCCAATGGTGAGTCAGAGGGTAGGACTGGGGCATCATTGTCTGGCTGGGACACCAGGTCACCAATACTTGGTTGTCCTCTGGGCAACTTTCCCTGCTATCCGTCCAGATGTGGAGTGGGGTGGGGGGTATAACCTACTGATGTGCTCATCTCCTCCCTGCTCTGTTTCCTAAATTGGATATCCCCAACTGCTGCCGTAGCTTCCTCTTCTTCCCAGCCTCCAGGTCCTTGACTAGGCACTAGATTTGCTCCAGACTAAGATTGCTTCTCTCTTCCCTTTGTGCTTCTTCCAAATGATATGGGAGAGATACCAGCAAGGCAATCTTTCCTGCAAAGAAAAGTCAAGCAGGCGGGCATTCTGCAGATGCCTCTGTGATAAAGAATGAACTTTACCCTTCTGCCAACAAAAGGCAGGATCTTCAGGAGGTAGGGGAGAGGGATTATGAGGAGGAGTGGCCAGAAGAATGAAGCTAACATCTCCCTTCCCCAGCATACACAAAGACAATAGCCCCTTTTCCTTTCCCATGGTTGCTGTTCTGAAGGCCCTAGTAGCTATCCCAGGTCTCAAGTCAGGGTGGCAAAGGACTCTGCCACAATTCTAAGTAGGCAGTTAGTGGAATGGCAGTGTAGTTTAATAAAAATAACTTTGAACAGAGTCAGGAGTATCAGTCTAGACATATATGACCGGAAGCAAGTCACTTTATCTCTGGGTCTCTAAGTTCTTCCTCTGTAAAAAGAGGAGGTTGGAATACATGAATTCTAAGGTCATTTTCCATTCTAACATTCCATGCTTTTATCAGTGAAATGAAACGGAGGGAAGGACAGAAAGGACAGAGTAACTCTATATAATAGACATCCTGTCTCCATGCAGCCCTCTGCCACCTGCCTCTCTGTCCCTCCCCAGAATTTTACCTCATCCTCATTCTCCACTTTTGGGTTGCTGGCTGTTCGTTTCAGGTTGCTGCTGAGACTTATGCTGGCGGTGGCATCTGACTTAGAACGCTGGTGAGTCCTTTTAGAGGGAGACAGCCCTGTGTCAGGAGCTGGGCTCAAGGAAGGCAGCTCCCTCTTTCGGTGAGCTGGCTTCAACTCATCTGAGAGGATCAGCTTCCGTAGCTTGGTCCCACGGGAGTGTCGTTGAGTGGAAATGTGCATGTCTGAAGAGTAGGCCCCAAGCAACAGGGCACACTGGAGGGAAAAGTTAATGCTCTGGCGGCAACGGTGGACTATGTAGGGTTTAATGGCATCACCCACATCCTCATCCATGTGGATGTACATGTTAAGCAGCTGGGGCAGATAGAAGTCCACGTCCTCGTCACGAAAGCAGAAGAGCCGGTTGCCGATGTAGGCTTGCACTCCAGGCTCTTTGGAGTTATAAAGGTATGAAATGGCCATGGAGATGTCAAACAGTTTTGATTCAAACAGCCTCAGCAGCCAAGACTGTTTAGCTGAGTTATTTTGCCGCTGCCTTCTTGCTCCTTTGGCTGTGCCCGAAGCCACAGTGGCCCCCATCTCATCTTCCTCCTCCCTGATCTGAGCAGGTGGATCATCGAGACAACGGATCTCACTGTCCACACCATCCCCATTGACCAACTCCAGTGGGGAGCCTCTGCCAGAGATGGCTACGCCTCCATGCAAAAGCTTGACTTTCTCCAGCACCTCCTGGCAAGCCTTCTGGGCTACCTCAGGGTCAATCACTGATAGTTCCCCGACCCCCTCTGTGATGACACTTAGCAAGGAGCCCCCATTATTCCCTGCTGGGCCAGGAGTCGGCTCAGAAGTTGGCTTCAAGGGGGCAGGCTCCACTACTGTGTCTCCCATGGCCACAGCCAGACTTCGAGCTTCCAAGCTATAGAAGGAGGGAGGAAGAAAGGAACAAAAAGGGAGACACATACACACCTGGTTAGTGGTGCCAGCCTCAGGTCTTCCCTTCGCCATGAAACCTTCCCAGGCACCTCTTTTTGTCTTCCTGGACTCCTTCAAAGTCAGATGAAAGCCATCTCCTCCCAGGAAGCTTTCCCTGACTACCTCCACTTCTTATCACTATACTACTCTTTATTTCTTCTGCACTTACTCAGCTCTGTTCTTAGCTTATATATGTGAAATGTTGCTTTTTCTGTGTTATGTTTATATAGGTTTACAAATTCTTCAGGTAGATTGGGGAGCAATTCAATCTTATTCCCTTATTCCTAACTCTTCAAATACTTTTCTATTCTCCTGCTCTTCCTATCTCCTTTTAAATGCCTGCTGTAACCTTTTCCTTTTCCTCTTTAAGGAGTATGTCCTTATTTATATAACATTTCACACACAGGTCCTGTGCATCTCACCTTTTAGTATTGAAGTCTTTTTTTTTTTTTTTTTTTTTTTTGAGACAGAGTCTCACTCTGTTGCCCTGGCTAGAGTGAGTGCCGTGGCGTTAGCCTAGCTCACAGCAACCTCAAACTCCTGGGCTCAAGCAATAGCGATCCTCCTGCTTCAGCCTCTCAAGTAGCTGGGACTACAGGTGCTCGCCACCATGCCCGGCTAATTTTTTGTTTCTATTTTTAGTTGCCAGGCTAATTTTTGCTATTTTTAGTAGAGACAGGATCTCGCTCTTGCTCAGGCTGGTCTTGAACTCCTGAGCGCAAGCAATCCTGCCACCTCGGCCTCCCAGAGTGCTAGGATTACAGGCGTGAGCCACCATGCCTGGCCTTTTTTTTTCTTTTGAGACAGAGTTGCCCTGGCTAGAGTGAGTGCCATGGCGTCAGCCTAGCTCACAGCAACCTCAAACTCCTGGCCTCAAGCGATCCTCCTGCTTCAGCCTCTCAAGTAGCTGGGACTACAGGTGCTCGCCACCATGCCCGGCTAATTTTTTGTTTCTATTTTTAGTTGCCAGGCTAATTTTTGCTATTTTTAGTAGAGACAGGATCTCGCTCTTGCTCAGGCTGGTCTTGAACTCCTGAGCGCAAGCAATCCTGCCACCTCGGCCTCCCAGAGTGCTAGGATTACAGGCCTGAGGATCACAGGCCTGAGCCACGTGCCTGGCCTTGAAATCTTGATATATTCTTCTAGTTACAGATACCTTCTTACTGTTCCTTTTAGACTCAAAGCTCCCAGGGAATAAAGACCAGCAAATACTACGCCAGGCTTCACTTAGGAGAAAACAGCTCTAAAACAGCCATCATCGACCCTGCTGAAGTTGTGCTATTTCTCTGCTTGCCTGACTTCATATCACCCTCCCTTTCTCTAGTGCTATGACAGCTGACATACAGTGGAAAGAGCCCTGCACTTGGAGGCAAACAGGCTGGGGTTCAAAATCCTCTGCCTTTATAAGATGTACAAACTTATGCAAGCCACATACCTTCTGAGTTTCAGTTTCCTCAACTGCAAAGTGGGAAAAAACACTTCTCCTTGTTGCTGTGTGGATTAAATAACTTCATGTGTGTAAAAGGATCTAGCACAGTCCCTGGCACACAGTAGTTCTTGTACTCAATAAATGCTAGTTGGATCCTAATCACCTAAAAGGTTAGTAAACAACGTGTGTGTATGTATGTGTAACATAAAACTTTCACTGTTTTATAAAGGAAGTGAATTCAAGTTATACTTGTTTGAGAATCTTCTAAAACACTTATGATAGCCCTCTCCCACCCCAACGCTACTATCCCCACTATCACATACACACTCCAAAAACAGAAGGGGCTGTGAGAAGGCAAAAAGAAATCAGGCGAGGACTCATTGGTCTAGAACTTCCAAAGAACAAGGAGAAACAGGAACCACAATAACTAAGAACCCCTCTCCAGAGGGACTCTTGGCAAGGAAATCCAGTGAGAGAACACTGCCGACAAAAGGCCACTGCCCTCCAAGTGCAATTCTTCAGAGCTTCACCAAATCCAGATCAGGAGAATCAGTGCAGAAGAGGAGGAAATTTCATAAGATCAACCTGGCTCCAGAATCTGGCTATAGCTAACAATGGACTCAGAGGCCTCTTCACAAAAATGCTCAAAAGTGTGAGCAAGAGGAAGGCTTTTGTAGAGCTGGAATGCATGTAATTTCCACCTATTAGTGACATCGCCTTTGACCCTGGTGACCCTGGGTGCATATACTTTGGGTAGTTGGAAGAAGGAGGCCCATAGATTCTCTAGTCACTCTGGGAGACCATTTTCCACCACCACCCTTCCAGTACCTTTTCTTGCACCTCTGAAATGTTAAGACTCAAGGTTCCTTTTATCTGCCAATATCACATAGTCCAGCTCTCTGCCTCCCAGCAGTCACCACCGAAGTTTTGCAGAAAGACATGTGGGGAACTCTCCTGTTCTCAGAGATCACCAAAAAAGCCTACTTCAGTTTCTTTCTCCCAACTGTGTCAAGCAAGAAGTTCATCCCTGAATTTAATATCCCTGATGCAGCTTGAGCTTGGTATTGGTAAAGTGGAAACTCTTTCACTCTGTTGTCTCCCAAAATTAGGCAGTGTCCTCTGAGCAGCAGAACCAGCATGGCTGCCTATGTGGATCTGTCTCTACTCGCAACCATGGGTGGCACAGGAATATTAAGAAAGAAGCTTTAATCATTCCCTGCCACACCTTTGTAGGGCACCCTCATCAGAGGATCACTGTAATTCAGCTGGAACCTGTACCTTTTAGGTCTGCTTAGAGACTCACATGATAGCCTCAATCATCCTATACAACCAACTCTTTTTCTCAATCTCTGTATGCGTGGTACATCTTTCCCTTTTCTTCTACTCCAGAGACTTCCGAGTCACTGAAAGCTCCTAAAAGTCCACTTTTCAAAACTTTCAAAGGAAATGAAGTTCAGACATTCTCCTACATACAACATCTCAGACCTCACTAGGAAATTTAGCAGATGCCTATTCCAACTAATTACAACTAGGATTATTATATGAGGAAGGCAAAAGAAGAGAAACTCCCAGGGCTCAGCTAAGAACCCCACATCACAGTATTCAGAGGACTTCACCACTGAACAGACTTCCCCATCTGGCAGCCTTTACTGCTCAGGGAACCAAACAACGTCAAGAGGTGCAGGAAAGCCAGACTCCTCTCCTGTATAAGCAGCTCTGCCACTAGAAACCACCAAATTGGAGCTGGGCCTCCCTACTGGCCTCTAAGGCACTTGGGGACTACCTGCATCTGAAGCAAGTCATGGGGAGAAGAAGGTGTTGAAAGGAACAGGGTTAGACTGTTTTGACAATTTAGACAATAGAAATAGGAGTCTTCAAAACCTAAATCCAGACATGGTCTTCAATATCAATTCTTTTTTTTTTTTTTTTGAGACAGAGTCTCGCTCTGTTGCCTAGGCTAGAGTGCTGTGGCGTCAGGCTAGCTCACAGCAACCTCAAACTCCTGGGCTCAAGCAATCCTCCTGCCTCAGCCTCCCGAGTAGCTGGGACTACAGGCATGCGCCACCATGCCCGGCTAATTTTTTCTACATATTTTTAGTTGTCCAGCTCATTTCTTTCTATTTTTTTTAGTAGAGACAGGGTCTCGCTCTTGCTTAGGCTGGTCTCGAACTCCTGACCTTGAGCGATCCACCTGCCTCGGCCTCCCAGAGAGCTAGGATTACAGGTGTGAGCCATTGCGCCCGGCCTATTTCTATTTTTTTTTAGTAGAGACGGGGTCTCACTCTTGCTTAGGCTGGTTTTTGAACTCCTGACCTCGAGCAATCCACCTGCCTTGGCCTCCCAGAGTGCTAGGATTACAAGGCATGAGCCACCACGCCCGACCTCAATTCATTCATTTTTGAATGCAAAAAAATTTACCTTTGAGGGTAGCCATTCTAAAGAAAGCAAAAGGACTAGAAACAAAAGAGTAGGAACAAGTCCACTGTTCACTATCCTTCCCTTGTAAGTCAGAAGAATAAGAAAAAAGGGACAGAATTCAAACCTTTAATACCAAATGACTCCTATGGCCTTCAAGGACATTCAGACAACTGAGGCTCCACCCCTCACCCTGGGAGCCTAAACTCTCCTTCCAGATTGCAGAGAAAATAAAAGAGGCCTCCCCTGCTCCAGTCTAGCAGCTCACCTCTAGGAAAGGGGGGTGGGAATAGAGGGAGTGCTGAGAATTGACTGGGTTCCATAGCTCCCATCTAGGCAAAGTAGGGAATCCTGGTCTGAGCGTCAAGGTTTGTTAGTAAGGGGAGAGCAGCGGCTGGAGAGGACAGAGAGGGTGTACACACATGTGTTCTGTGTGACTGAGCAGTTAAGTGCATGTCTGCAGAAGACTCTGGGGGGAGGGGATACTATCACTTAGTATCCCCACTTCTCATCACCTCAAAAGATTCTAGGCTAACAACCTTTCATTGGCCTCCACTAGAGGACTTATTGGACTGGTCTCTGCTAGGACAGAATGGTAAAGAGCCCCACCCATAATCAATCCCCAGTTAATCGCCATTCCCTTCTTAAAATCTTTCTCCATGGACTAGATAAATATGGACTGGTTCAGATCAATCCTGATGTTTTTATCTGTTCCTCTATTTTCATGGAATGGCCTTTAAGGGATCATATGATCTAGTGCTCTGCCTCCAAGCAGGCAGGCAAGCTCAATTTTCCTCCTCCTTTTAAAGGATCCTTTTCCCCTACCCTTTTTTCCACCTCTCATGATCCTTTGAGATGGATCCATGAGAGGTGGAAAAAAGGGCAGGGGAGTCAATGTCTTCACCCTGCAAGGTGGGTTAAGAGAGACTGTTAAAAGTTAATGGAAAAGAAAGGGAGGTTCAAATATATTATTTAAAGTTACACAGGCATCCAGTAGAAGAAATAAAAATGACATAATTACATAAACAAGAGGTATAAATTCTCTAAAGCTAAATTCTCTTTTGTAATGATAAGTCAAGAAATAAAGGCACAAGCATTTTATCTAAAGCTAAGGGATAGCCTTCAGGACTAAACACAGATAATTAAAGAGGTTAACTCTGAGGGAGAAGGAATAGGGATGAATGGAAAGTGACTGTTGGTTTTCATCATAAACTCTTTTGGTACCATTGGATTTGCTACCGAGTGCATATATTCCTTTAATAATTTTTAGGGCCAGGCATGGTGGCTCACACCTGTAATCCCAGCACTCTGGGAGGATGAAGCAGGAGGATTGCTTGAGGCCAGGAACCTGAGACCAGCCTGGGTAACATTGCAAGACCCCGTCCCTACAAAAACTTTAAAAATTAGCCGGGCATGGTGGTGTGTGCCTGCAGTCCTAGCTACTCAGGAGGCTGAGGCAGGAGGATCACTTGAGCCCAGGAGTTTGAGGCTGCAGTGAGCTATGATTGTGCCAGTATATTCCAGCCTAGGGAACAGAGAAAGACCCTGTGTCTAAAAATAATAATAATTTTTAAAAAGAGGTTGTTCTTCAAAAGAGACTCCATATCACCCTAGACTGCCTGTTCTGCTGTTAAGAAGTTCCTCCTCATATCTTAAGGTTTAACTCAAACCTTTCTTTAAGAAGGTCCTAATTTATCTTTCCCCTTTGACCTCAATGGTAAAGGTGGAGATCGAGTACTCCTTTTTCCTTGTAGAAACTCAGGGCTGAGTAGTCAAGCAGGCTCAAGATCCACTGAAACAGGTAAATGCTTACCCAAGGCCCCAGAGAGTGGTGGCATCAGGGGAGAGGGCATTCTCAAGCTACCAGAAGGAGGGTAGTGAGGGCAGTGGTCTCAAGGTAGTTAAGTCAATATTGAATCAGGCTGAGAACTCTGTGCAGAGCCATGGAGCTGGTATAAGCAGATTCCAGCCAGACAGCCCAAGCCAGCTCTGGGAGCCCCTGCTGAAACAGACAGATGGCAAAGAAAGCAACCTGTATGTTCACGCCTCTCTGAACTGTTCCTCCCCGCTGCAAGTCCCAAATGTGCTTGAACTAGGCCTTCTCTTGTCCCGTGCCAATTATTGAAAGGTTCCTCCCAAACCTCTTCCCCAAATCAAAGAATCTCAACTTGCTGCTTCAGATGGCATTCAGCAAACTTGTTTTCATGCAAGGTGGACCCGGCTCTGAGAAGGAAGCAGGGAAACTAGGGGAAATATGATTTCTGCTTGGGGGTGCTTCCAAGGAGTGAAGCTTCTCCTAAAAAGGCGGCTTATGTAGAGGCTGCACTCTGGCTAATGAGGAGAGAGAAGGGAAAAGTGGGACGAGGTGGCATAACTACTTCCAAACAGGCCTAGAGTTGGAATATGAATGGAACTTCACGTACCTTCTTTGCTATCACAGGCCAAGAAAGAGACATGGCATACAAGGCAACAACTAGACTCCTAAGTCCCAGCTCACTCCAAGTTCTCTTTTCCAGCCAGCTTCCTCAAAGGGCTTTCCCATAAACATACTTCCCACCTGTAGAATCTGGAGTTATACATCAGATATGGGAAGAACAGCACAGGTGATCTTAATGCACTGGAGAAAAAAACAGGGCAGATGAAAGAAACCAGCCTGAAGCTTGTCTTTCAAAATGACTTACATCCAGGGTGGTATATTAGAACGATCCACTAGAAAGACCAAGATGAAGGAAAATTCTCAAGATGACTGAACCACCACTAATAAATACCTTTTGTCCGAGGAACCCAGAATGTTTTGTAAACAAATAAACCAAGTCTATTTTTTCCCTCAACCTACATCCTGCTATTAGCCTAGTACTGCACTGATGACTATAGATGGACCATTTTCCCAAGAAGATTACTCTAGAGGTCAAGTGAGGAAGTTACATGCTGAACCCAGGTGTCCTGATTGTGAATGTACAAGTTCTTTCCACTGTCTCGTGTTCCTTTTCCCAGTTACCCACCTCCACACTCCACCCAAGGCCTGAGCTCTTATGGAACCAACCAAAACTATTCTAGTAAGCCACAGACAGTAAACTGATTCTTCCGCATCTGGACAGGGGTGAGAAGACATTCTATTCTGTAATTCCTTTAACGCAAGCCTAAAATTAAATAATCTGAAACAAAATTTCGCACAACCTCAGTTTCCGTGCAGGCCTGCTCAACCCTCCTAGTGGCTGCTCCTGAGGAGTCAGCAAAGTGTAATCTGATAGGGACTTCTTCAAAATTTGCTCCATCCTTCAGAAACACCCTTCTATCCCAAAAAGCCTGAGACAGCTGAGGCTCCTCTTCCTCCCAACACATTTTTCTTCTTAGTTCAAGGTTTAGCTGATCCTGAAATAAGTGGTATGAGGAGATAAAGAGTATGAAAGAGAACACATAAAGACCATAGGGAAAACAGAACTAAGTGTCACAAGGATCAGCGAAATACTTGAAACTTGATGGAGGTGTCAAAGCTGGAAATTCTGAATAGGAAGGGGCACTGTCAGATCTTCTCTCTCCTACAGAAACAAACCTCCAGAGGGTTGGGGGATTGAGGAGGGGGAAAAGCAGCTAAAGAAAGTTACAGAGATCATAAAGCACCCCAGAGAAGAAGGGTGAGGCTAGGGTCAAAGTAGAATGTAAATGGTACTTTAGGAATGATGACAAGGGCCTGAGATCCCTTAAAGGGAAGGGACTAAGCGGTTCTTGGAAGCCAGGAGCTAGGTAGGTGGGTGGGTGACGGTGAGGTAATGGAATCAGAAGAAGCAGAGGAAGGGAAGGATACAATCTTTAGCTCAGGGAAATGGAAACCCCGTGCTGGGGATGCACCGAGACCTCGGAGGAAAGGGGCAAAATAGGGAGAGAGATAAAGGCGAAGTCCATGGGAAAGGTTTGGGACGGGAACTCAGACAAGGACAAACAAGAATGAACATATATGAACTCTGATGTGGAAAGGGTTCAAGGCTTAAAAATAATAATTCGAGACGGAGGCAACAGGGATAACAGTGAGGGAGGGGGGAATCCCCGGGGCAGAGGGAGGAGCTAAACAGAAGAGGAAGCCAAAAAACAGAGGAGGACCCCAGGCCTGAGAGGCAAGGGTAGAGAAGGAACCCGGGGTGCAGCTGCTACCGGGAGGGCAGTTTTGTAGTCGAACCCAGGTTGGGGGAGGCAGTACGGGACAGGGTAGAAGAACACCCCCCCCACCACCAGCAGGGCAAAGGTGACTCATGGGGGAGGAGTAGCTTACCTCTGGGGGGACCCCCGCGGAGGGGGTGCGGGCGGTCGGGGTCGGACTGCCGACACCGCCGCCTCAGCAGCAGCGGCCACTGCCGGGTTCCATTGGCCGCTTGCGCTTCCCTGACAGCGGCCGCGGCTGCACCAGGCCCCGGCTGCGGGGCTGCCCGCGGCGCCGCCTGAGGGGGCCTTCAGGCTGCCTCAGGTTTGACTGGCCCACACACCCTCCGCTTCCTCCCTCCGTACAACCAGAACCAAAAATAAATAAATTCCCCAGCAGATCTCGATGTAAAATTATTCTCCTGCGTCCAAGCCTTTTTCTCTAGGATAAGCTTTCCTGCTTCCCCGACGCTCAGGACCCTACCGATCCCATAGTAATCTAAGGAGTCGTGTGAGCTGCCTGGAACATGCCTGTTCAGAAATAGAAAAGGGGGCGGGGAAGAGATATTTGGAAGTCAGGGAGGGAGGAGAAGGTGAGGGGAGGAACTTACGGGTGGGAGGAGGGGCCAATCTTTGAGAGGAGGACCCAAGAGAGAGCGTTGGCGAGGATAAGGAAGCCTGGAAGGAAGTAAAATTTGCTGGATAAGGGGCAGGGCAGGTGGGCAGGCGGGCGTGGGTGCCCTGTTAGAGAACTATGGACATACTGCGTACTTCCAGAAGTACATTAACATGCAACTTATATGTAAACAAGCCCGTTTGAGTTAGCAACCTAGTTACCATAATTGCTAATTAGGGGGTTTTCCCCCTCCTCATTGCTACGCGACTCCTTAGTAAATCAGGCTGTGGGATGGACGCTGAGGGGGGCCAGAAGGGAGAGGAGAAAGAGAGAGGGCCGGCAGGGAAGACAGTCACCCTCACTACTCTTTCCCTACTCATCTTTAAGAGCGATGCCAAGATTACGCCCCTTCTCGCTTCGCGGGTGGCGCGGTCCAACCGCGTCAATCTTTCGTCGTTAGCCGCCCGACTCGAGGCCGCGGTTCTGCCTCCAAGATTACCACCTGCCTGGGCAGTCTTTGGCCTCCAGCCTCCAGACGCTGAGTCCTCCAGGGAGGGGCTGGGCTGGGCCAGGTTGGGAGAGGTGAGTGCAATGACAAAAGCTTGGAGGGCATAATCCCTTCCAAACCAAACCAAACCATATAAGACTAAACAAATTAGCAAAAACACGCCTTGCAAAAGAGCCTCTGGTACTGGTTTTGTGTATTTGTCGGTTAACATATTGATTGAGAGCCCTCTTCCTCAGAACCTCTCTCCTAATACCTTAACTAGGGCTTAATATTCAACGCCCTTCATAGGGCTTTACTTAATATTCTTCACTGAGGCTAGTTATTTGAGCCCAGATCTTGGATGCCATCTTCCCTGCCGCTGTTTGATCTGGGATAACTGATTTAACCTCTTTGAACCTCATTTTCTATGTCTGCGAAGTGTATGCAGTAATATTAACACCTTACAGGATTTTGTGAGGATCAAGAGAGTACAGATTACTATAGTATTGTTACTATTATTGGGACAGTAATATAGGATGATGAAAGAAGAGAGTCACTACTTCAGTGTTTAATTTGGAGGCAGAATGAAGAGTAATAGCTTGAAAATGCCCGTGTAAAGCATGCAGTATGTACAAAAGTAGAACAAATGGGGTACCTAATTCCTGAAGGAACATAGTGGAGTTCAGTTAAATTAGTACAGAAGGCCTATATGTATATGGACATATATATGATATATACGTCAATATATGGTGAATAAATAGAAAGCTTCTTAGAAATATTGTGAGCCAGGTCTTAGAAGAGATATTGGATATGATCTAGAATAAAAAAGACGAGAGAGCATTTTGAAGGCTAAAAAATTGTATGTTGAAGTGTAGAAATGGAAATTTGCTCAAATCATGAGAAGGAAAGGGCAGGCAAGCAGATACGCTCAGTTAAAGCAGGAGTACAGTAATGAAAGATGAACAGAGAAAGAGGACAAGAGTGCCAAAGATAGTTTAAATTTGTCACCACTGGTCTGTTGTGGGGAATCACCAGTCCACCTGTCAGGCCTAGCAGCTTTGGGCCAGCTTCCAACCAGCTGTCTCGCAAGTAACAAGAGGCAATGACCCTGCATTAGCCTAGAGTTTAAAGTGTCACACATCCCCTTAAAGGATAGGGTTCCAAAGGGGCCACAAGACTAGCTTTTTGTAACATTGTAGAAAGAGATGTGACAGCCCTTTTTATAGTAGGAAGTTTTCTTATTTTCCAATGACAGAAAAACAAAATTTCAGGAATATCTCCATTCAAACTTGAAGTAGGAACTTTTTCTAGCTACGGTCAGTTGTAAGCCCTTTATAAACCAAGTGAGACCATGCCTCAATAAACACACACACACACACACACACACACACACACACACACACAGTATTAAGTAGAAGAGTTTATTTCAAGTTTTCTGTTTATAGCTCTAAGGGCTATATGTAAGTTTCTTTGCATCTCTTTATAACTTTGTCTTTTTGCCTGTTTCTGGAGGTTTTTTGATCACCCTCTGTTTCTACCAGCCTTTAGTCCTTCCTAGCCTGAGCTCCTCAAGGCAGGAAAGGACTCTTCTTTGTAATCTAGCTGTATCCCTAGTTTCTACCACAGGGGGGAAAAAGTTAGTATTTATTGATATAGCAACAGACTGAATGCAGAAGAAGATGTAAGAATCCAGTCAGGTATTAGAGCATTCCAAAATTCTAAAACAATGCCAGTTGTCTCACTGATTTTTTTGTTTGGGAAAAATAAAGGTATTTTTCAAAAATGAATTAATAAAAATATTTTAAAATAAATATTTTGACTAAATTTTCTTCCCCCATTTGCCTCAATTCTTTTCAAGCTCCTTAATTGTCAAATTATAAAACTGAATGCTATTCTTTTTCTCATATGAAATTTAAAAGCATAATATCTGTCATATTCCCTAAAATTCCTCACTCCTCTGAACCTAGTTTTTTAAAATTCTCTTTTGATAGAAAAAACTATCACTTACCTCTTAGATCTCAGGGAGCCACTGCAGGTAGGGATGGTTGCACATGGATGACAGGTGACCCTATGGGAATCCATACTGCCCTGTGTGCACGTGAAGCCTCTTGCTTTGGTGGGAAATTATGTATGTATGTGGCACACTGGAGTGTGGGGAGGGCAGAAAGTACCAACAGGGTAAGATAATGTCATTTATTTGTCTTATTTAAATTTCATCAAATTGGGGAAAGAAGTTGGCTTATTATTCAAAAGTTAGTAAAACCAGAGGACCTGTGTCTGGCTATATCTTAAACACCTTGTGGGTAAAAAGAAATTTCTATAAAAGACTGAATTTTTTTCCTGAACCATATATAGATATTATGGGCTTCTTTTCAGGGAAATGAAAAAGAAGCTAGCAGTTATTGCTTGAGCCCCCTACTGTGTATGAATAAAAATATTATTTATTTCTCACTACAATCCCATGAACGAGATTTTATTCCACTTTATGGAAACTGACCTTCAGAATGGTTGTTTTTCAAAATTGTTTTACTTCAGCCCACAATAAGAAATGCATTTTCTATCATGCCCACTGAAGAACACATATTTGTGTTCACTGAAATAAAAGTTTCACAAAACAATACTAAGCCTTACTATGTGCAATGCACTCATATTTTTGATTCTATTTCATTTCACTTTTTTAAAATGCTGTTTTGCATTCCGCTAAGTTTATTTCACAACCCATTAATGGTTTGCAATCTACAGTTTGAAAAAACTGGGCTAAAGAAATGTTCAAAATCATATGTAAGTGGTAAAGCTAAGATTTGAACCTAACTCTTTCCAGTAAACAAATGCCTCTCTCTCTATGAACATTTCTTAAGAAATACTATGAGAAATAGATGTCTCTATCTATCTATCTATTTACCTACCTATCTAAAATGCTTAGCTTTATCTCATAGGATGGAATCAGTAGGATGTTTTCAGACAAAGATATAGGCTTACTGAGGAACCATAACATGCGACAAAACACTTCGACACATGTAGGATGACATTAATTCCCCTATTTAGTATGCTTTGTGACTGCAGCATTTGCTTTATTTTCTAAAGAAGGCTGATTGTTAACCACAAAAATAAAAACAACAGATTCATTTATTTGGGGCCATAGACTACACATGTAGAGTTTGTCTTAGTTTAATAGCAAAAGATTATTTCAAATTTTATTAAGTTTAATTTATGGTAGAGCTAAAATGAGAAAAAAACAACACTGTGAGGAAGGTAATAGGAGTGGAGAACGGGGGATTGTAAAGAAGGGGGAAGAGTGAGAAATGGTAAAGAGGAAACAGTAGGTACTCCCGTGAATCTTAGTTTAGCCCTTCACCTAATAAAGTGAAGTTTGCTTGAACTACAGAAGAATAAGTTGTTTCATGTTACATTTTAAAAATATGCAAATCTCAAAATCATCTGGTGGTCTGGTATCCCAAAGTTAATGAATATATCCCCAATGTCTGGGGATCATCTATTTCCTTGGATGATTCTATCTATTCTATCACCAGTGGTTTATTTTTCCTTATGCCTATTACTTCTAATCTGTCTGCAGCCTGGACCAGTCCCTCATCTCCCATATGGATAAAGGCAACAGCTGCCTGGCTCATTCCTTAGACTCCAGTTCCTCTATCCTCTAATACAAACTTCATACCTTTCATTCATTCATTTATTCAATCAACAGATAACTACAATGGTTGTGTGTTCTTCTTCTAGTTTATTTCTCACTATTGTTCATATACATCTCTTCTGCTTGACAGGTCTCTTTACTGAGTTGTATTGCCACATCCACCCCTCTGCTTTTTCTGGAATGCCTTCCTCTTTTTCACCTATCCAAGCTCTACTTACCTTAAAGGCTTAACTCAAGCCTGCCTTTTCCATGAAGCCTTCCTAAATTACTCAGCCCAAATTTACATCTTTGAAATTACAGCTCTTATGCAGTAGACTATTACCATGACTTCGCTTTTTTTACTGTACGTCTCTTAAATGTTGTTCTGTCCTTGCTTTATGAGTTAGATTTGTCCAGCTAACTCCTACTCACCTCTACAGGGAAATCATCTCTGATCCCTGTCTGACCTATATGCTATTCCTCTATGCTTACTATTCACATAATTCACTGTGTCGTGACCATTATTTACTTGTCTCTCTCTCCAACTAGAATGAAGACAGAGTCTAAGTAAAC